TCTCTCTCTCTCTCTCTCTCTCTCTCTCTCTCTCTCTCTCCTTAATCAAGCAATAATGACAAGTAAATAAGTATAGAGGAAGATCGGATAATACCGGACGGAATATCTTGAACCAATATATCCTCACTGTATACCAATGTTTAATTAATGTATTGTGGTACTATAATTTGCTTAATTATGAAAAATAGTAATTAAGATACTACTCCATTATTTATTACCATTCATTCTACAGAAAAATAAGTTGTGCCTTAATTTATACAATATTAAGTATATATTGTGTAAGATGATATTTCTCTTAATTTTTATGCCATAATTTCGTCATAAGTTTTACGTCAATGATCTATGATTTAGAGCTCCATTTTTTCATTACGTAATTTTGGTGATATTATTGATTTACAATAAATTTTTATTATTATTCTATATGCACGTTTATTGCATGCAAAACATATTTAGTTATATATTTTTTAATTTTATTCTTGACAAATTATTTTGCTAAATGATATATTTATTGGTGTCCATACACACACTTTATGTTTTATAAAATACATTCAAAATGTTTCGCTGTTCTCAAAATGTTCCCGTTTCGAATCCTCTTTTTAAAGTGCATTCATTATTTCTGACTTTACTCGCTTTCGAGATATCGTACGGCAATCAAACGTTTTGTCTCTCATAAATGTTCGCGTGCTTGTCGTTGAGCAATTGCGTGTGCGGATGGAAAATTGCGGACGCGATTTAATCTTTTGCATGCACCTGTGAGTCGCTTCTGTCGTAATTCTAAACGGGCGCTATTGTGCGCAACGATGCCTCAACTGTTGCACGCGAAGGATTAATTTCACGTACCGGGGCGCGGAGATCTTGTTTGCAATTTCTTGCCCCGCGGGTATTAATACAGGGCGAAATCTCCGGGGCTGAAATTTCTCCTCAACCCAATTCGCCCTGTGTACATACCAGCCGCGTGATCCCGTGGGAGATCTAAAGTTCCAGTCATTTCTTGCCTGGTAGAGTAAGTCCCTGAGATGGTCAATGCATCTGCATTTCCCAAAAGTCCCTCCACGATCAATATCAATTGAACAGTTATATGATTCGCCGCGCGCCGAAAGGAACTTATCAAAGCGTTACAAAAACGGTTATTAATTAATATTTTAGTTAACCGACGCAAGAATTGTATAAACTTTTTCTTCAACTAAATCCTTCTCGTAAACTTATTCAGATAATATAATTTATCAAAATTATATTACATGTATGATATTGCCAATTAATTTTCCAACGTTGATAACTAATTACTGATAATTCATGATAAAAAAAGTATTTAATTAATTTTTACATATATTAATAACAAAATTTGGTTTATAACAGCTTTTATAGATATCCGGTTTTATTAATAAAGACGATGCAAAATATTATTTATAAAGAAAGAACGATTTTGCTGAAATCTCAATTTCAGTTGGATACGAATCTGAAAACGTTTTTGTTGAATCATTAGAATAATTATGTAGAAATCTGAAGCATGAGCGAACAACTTTTTTGCAGCATTGTTCATTATGCTTCAGATTCCCATATAATTTATTTTGATGATCGAATAATATTATTTCAGATTTGTATCTAACTTAAATTCTTAGATATTTCAACCGAACTATTCAAACAAACTTGGATTAAATTTATAGAAATAAAAGATAAAGAAGAACCTTTCCAATATGTTGCACGTATTGGAGAAGTTTCCGTACAAAAATAAAATTTTATTGTGTAAGAACTGACAAGATCTATCCTTACAAATGTTAATTCAAGTGAATCTATGAATAGCTGCATTTCTGCTCAAATGGATTTGAAATACCGGCGCTGCTCTGGTATTTGACCCTAAGGCTCTTCATCGCTCTATTGCCGTCACTACACTGCCTTTACACCACCGTTCACATCAGTACGAGCTTCATCGTACAAGCGCAAGGTCATATCCTAAGAGAAGTTACGGCATAATACTCCAAGCCACTTTCTAGTCCATGCGAAACTTTCAGTGAATTTAGCGGACCGAAATTAATTAACGGAAGACAATGTTCACCTGCGGCCACCAAATTGGCTCGCTCCGCTTGCAGTTAGCAAAATTTGACGACAAATTCAACATTGTTGTACAATAATCATTGAACCTTGAAGCGGCCATTAGTGTGCATAATCCTAATTAATTAATGTAACGTTAATTACAAAAAACGTTTTATTTTAATTTTCTATTTTATAATTATTATCATAATTACATTTTTCTGTTTTAACTTTTAATCATATTATAATTTTAAAGAAAGCTGCAGGTAAAATATTCTATTAAACATTTAATTATTTAATGATGAAGATTGTCAATTCTTGTATATATTTTCATTTCTTTATAAATACAGCAAAGTTTGCAATAATAGCCTATAAATTGTAATAATATAGGCAACACTTGGTTAAATTGACTTTCATGGCAAAATACGATTTTCTGCGTCAACATCGACGCAAAACTTAGTTTGTCATATGATCGACATAGAATAATTTATTCTATCGATTATCCGCTTGAGTGGCATAGTCGACGCGTGTGAACGACACGTTGAAACTCAGTTAAAATCGCTGACGACGCGGCAAAAATTTTTAATGCACAAACTGTCAAGCACTGGCGGCGCGAAAAATCCATTAAAATTTCTGTGCGTCATTAAAAACGACGACGTAACTGTATTTCTAGACAAGATGTCAAAAGTCTTTCCGCTACTAATATTTCCATACTACTTTTTTTTTTTTTTCAAAAGATCATTATTTTCTTCTGGAAATCAATTTGCATTTTTATAAGGTTACACGAGATACAAGTTGTTTTTGCAAACGTAGGAAACGAGCACACGATAATTTTTCTCAAGCCGTTTGTATACAAAATTATGAAAAACAAATTGACGCGTTCGTAATTGTGGTTTCCATATCAAATCAAATTTTTTTATATGAAGCAAATAATTTATATCTATTATAATAAAATCGATAATTTTAAAATAAATGTTGATTTAATTTGTTAATTACATGAAAATTCACATTGCGTTTCTTTAATTCCTGTCTCACACAGCCAAAAGACTTTCAAAAAATCTTATGATTGATAGATAATAATACAATGATGGACTTACCTTGACCCAGGTTTCGTGTTTGAATTTCACCGGTTCCCGAAACGGGCTCCTCTTCCTCGTTCGCGCCCGTTTTACAGTCTTTGTCGAACACTCGTAGTTCCGTGCTCACCGTGTCTCCGCGTCTTCCTGTAAAGGAGAGGAACAACTACCATCAATCTCGGTCACGCAAATGATAGTTTGCGAACTAGTTGATCACGCCTGATCTGAAAGCTAAGGAATTCGAGCGTTTACGTTGTCGATCGCTGAAGAATAAAGACGTCAGCAGCAACACTTTGAGTAATGTCTTGTAACGGAAATCGACAAGCGTATAGATAATGTCACACTTTTTTATATATAGTTCGTCATATTGATTAAACATCACTTTGACGAATGTAATTTTTTAGTTTTAAATTTAAATATCAATTATTAATCATATTATTTTATAATATTTAAAAATAGTATCATAATATCAGCTTCTTTTCTATTTTTGCTCGTGAAACAAAATTAAAAGTACATAATCATCGGCATAATCATCAGGAAACATGTATCGAGAATTCCAAAACTTTAACAGAGAACACTGTTTACATAATTGCCGACGACATACGGTATAAAATGTTGAAATTCCTGAACTAACTATATATTAATGCTTGAATATAGTTATCGTTTTGTTAGTGATATGTACATAATATTTAGTATTAATTAATTATTCCATATTAATTAACTTATTAAACAACTGTGTATAGTTGATCATAAATGCTATTGATAATAGCATTTTCGACATGCGATGTGTATTGTACGATCTGTGTTACATATATCACGAGATATGTTTGAATTCAACTCGATAATTCTATTAGAAATTCGTAGTTTTACAAATTTAAATGCAGTAACTTCATTATTAGCAAATAAATTTCGAAATAATAGTGACGTATTCCACGAGAAACATTAATTAATGAGATATAATTAAAGGAGCACAATTCAAAAGTTTTAATTCAAAAGTGAAGTTTATTAACATCCTCATTTTAATAATATTTGAATTTTATGACTTGTGAGAAGAAGGCTATCAACTTGTAACGGAATTGAAATTCTTTCTTTTTACTCATTAATTCAGTAATGAAATAAATACGCAAATTGAATTAGCATTTTTGGTGTGTTGAAAATTGTTTTCTTAATCGAGCGCGAACTCTAAGAGAAAGTAATTTAAATATTTTACTCGTTTTGTATGCGTATATGCCTTCGACGTTCGCAACTCGCTTCGTAATTTCAACCGCAAGCATAGCTCACGTGATACGATTCATACACCACGAAAACATCGTTCCAAGAAGCTTTATATCAACGATCTTCAAAGAGCGGAAAATACCGCCGTGTCTTCTCATCCTCCCTACGTACGTTGCCGTATTTTCGTCCTGCTCTTCTTGTTTCATTCAAGATACTCCGCCTGGTCGTTCTTTTCGGCACACTTTATCGCGCACTACATTGGAGGTGGTTCATGTATCTACTATAACGGCGCGTAATTCTTTTCCTTTTTGACAAGAATCTCGGTGGAAATGAGATTTTCAGAAGCAATTTGAAGCAAATTTGCCTGTAAAAGGGTCGAGATAAAAGACAGATTCAAAAACGAAGAAGGGAGGTCATGTTAAAGAAACACGACTACGCGGTGATAATAACAGCGATGACAATAGCGAAGATGAGGAAGAAAGACGACATTGCAGAACAGGCTGTTTTATTATAGCTTCTATTTAACATCTCGAATCTTTCTATCGAGTCAACTTTATATTACGCGCTGTAATTCTGAAACATTTTTAGCGATGCAACCTCGCAGAATCAATCCGTGGAAATTGTTCGTAAACGCATTTCATGCGCGTTTCACCTATGTAAAGCACGAGAGTGTAACATTGGTCGTAGCGGCGTTAAAGTCATTTAAGCCGCATTAAGACTTAGGGATGTTCAAAGTAAAGCGAAATTGCGAGGCTGCCACTATATATCCCAAAGTAATCCGACATATCTTTCGCCTTAATCCCCAAGACCTGATACGTGCGGCGCACAACTTTGTCCAATGAGAAAATTTCTGAGAAAATTGCGCTATTCGCAGAGTTTGTCGATATAGAAGAAAACGTGCATCGTGTATATGTATATATATTCTTATATATATTTAAAATTTTAACGATAACAAAAATATAAACCGTGTAACTGAACTTGCTAAAGTCACAAATTATTACATGCGTAACAGTTTTGCAATCGAGTGAGCAAAATAAATGAAACCGTTTTCAAATTAGCTAGAATAAAACAAAGTAATGGGAAAATTTACATTTTCTCAATCTTTTGTCCAGCAAATAGCACATTAAATCGCAACAATAGTGCTCGCCCAGAGCAGTGAATTTCACTCTATTGAAGGTCTCTTTCAATGCTTCGAATGAAGATTGATCGATGAAGAATGACGTAGTGCAACGTAACATTTCATGGATACAAAAATCATGTAGATATGTATACTGTATCCCCCCCTCCCCCAATTTTCAATAATACAATACATCATTTTGTTATTCATGTTTTTTAGTACATTTAAAAATTGCCAAAATTACAATTTCAACTTATACGACTTTTAAATGTAAATTTAAAAAAATTAATCTACCCACATTGTACGATTCCTCGTACATTTACTGTTAGAAAGTAACAGTCAGCTATGTACCGTGGACTTGCTAACCTTCCATCTCTGTTTCCACCAATATAGGAGCTGCACGAATTTCCATAAAATTGGGAAACTGCAGCTGAAACGAGCGTAAAGTCTAGAACGTCGTATAAATTCAAACTTCCGCATCCCAAATTTCTTTCCGCCAGTATGAACCACATTCTGGCATATGTAAAGAGAAATTAAATTCTCGTAATAAAAAATTTTATGAGCTAATATGATTTATGTTAAATTAATTCGTATATTTTTCTAAACATGACAAATAAATCTCATCTATTAGTCACAAATTGAATTGGGAAAAAATATACAATCTAAGTTTTTTAATAAAAAATGAAAATAAAGTAATATGTATTAAAAAGAGAGCCAACAATTTTTTAAGTATATTTTTATAACCTATATTTAGTAAAAAAATTTTATAACGTGCACAACACACGGCAATGTATTTCCATTTTGTAGAAAATTTTATTGTCGTATACTCGAATCATTACGAAAAACAATTATTTGATATTCATTTGAGTTCACATTAATTTCTTTTTCATGGCAGCGAATCAGCTCTACAGAAGTAAAAATGGAAAAGTTTTTGAAAGAATCGGTGCTATGAAAAGTCACGACAAGCCACCCTGGTTCAAGCAAGAAAGAGCACTTTGAAGTTGGCCTAGTACCATCACATTCGAGTGGGTGATTTGTCCCGGTTTTTCGTGACGACGGTAATCCAACTCTTCAATCGTTGGTAGTTCTGTCTTTGAATTCTTTCATTTGTCGATGTCGTTCTTATTTGTTCTAAAGATTTAATTATCTAAGTGCTAGTTGTGTATACAACTGCGATACTACAATATACGTAAACTCTATTTAAATAGATTTATAAGTAACACATTTTAAACTCATTTAATATAAATTATTTAAGCAGTATAAATTGTTTATAAGAATTTAATTAAAATACTTACTATCTAAAATACATGTTATGTATAAAAAATAATAGATTCTAAAAAAAATCAAGTATACGCAATACATTTTTAAAATAATAAATGATAACATTAAATTTTACTTTATTATATGTCATATTCAATGTCCTAAAATAAATTTTTATAGGAATTTAAAATCCCCAATGTCTTAAAGACTTAAAATGAATATTAAATAATTTATTTTTATTATAAGAACAAAAATAAATAAGAAAATAAAGGACTCTCAATATTAAAAAATAACAATTGTGTGATATTAAAGATAATAATAGTAAAAAAAAGTAATAAACATATATATAACGTGTCTAACTGACGCGATGAACAGAACAACATTGAGAAAGAACTTGACGTGATGCAAAGTCAAATCTTGTTTATAATCGGAATGTAAGATTCATGTAGGCCTTCTGTGTCTGTTGGAGATTAAGAGTGTTTCTCTGTTTTTTTTTTTTATATTGAGCATCTCCGAGATAAGGCGTTTGTTATAACACGGTTCTTCGTTCAGAAGTTCTGTTCGTCGTGTCAGTTAGACATGTTATGTATGTTTATTACTTTTTTGACTCTTATTGCCTTTATAATATCACATAATTGTTATTTTTTTAATAAGAACTTTGTGTGTGTGGATTTTTATATCTATACGTATTTCAAAATCTAGCATACTAAATGGTAGTATTATTGTGCTTCTCATTAAATAGCACTTCCTTTTAACTTAACATTTTTATTATGCAGCTTTTATGTAGCCCTTTGATTTTGAGTCTTCTGAGCATTTGCACACGATCTCATTCAACATGGTAATTTTCCTCTTCTTTTGTGAAGGGTCTAGCAATCCTCGAATTTTCGAAGGGAGATCGTTACCGAGTTTCCTTTTCACTTTGAATACATTTCCGGTACGGTAGTCGAATGCATTTCACCTTTCATTATCGTACTTCAACCTGATTCACAAAAACATGGAGTACTTGTACGCTAAAAATTCTACAAGAGACATAAATTGGAGTAACATTGCATACAATCTCTTTGTAACTCGATATAATCGAAAAAAATTGTAATTGTAAACTATTTATAATATAGGTAATGTCAGATCTCTATTTATTTTATAAAATAATAAATAAATAATTTTTCAATGACCCTTTATTTAAAGATCTCATTGTTATGACACGCTTTATTATATCATTGCATTGTATTGTTCCAACCTAAATTAACAAAATTTTATTACATAGAAAGTTCCAAAATTCGAGACTCAAAATAAATACTTTAACTAAATAATATAATAAAAACGTTACTAGTAAATTTTTTTTAACTATGTTCTGAGCTTTAACGGTTTAAATATAGCCAATTACGTTTATTTAGATGATCATTTGTAAGTATTAATGAGCGATCTGTATAAAATTGGCTCCACATATTTAAGAAAACTAATTTTCTATAGCACATTCGATTATTCATCGTTTACATATACATACATACTTTGAATTTTTGTTTGTTACATTTTTGGTAAAAAA